ATGAGATATTGATCACTTTGACTTTCCCTTCTCTCTCAATGCCAAAACTCACTCTTAGCAATGGACAATACATGGCAGTCAACAGTGATAATAGTAATGATGTACTGGTGAGTGACCATTGGATTCTGATACATATTGACATCCTTATGCTGTGTAGAAAGTTTGAGCTGATTCCAACTTCAATTTTTAGAGTTACGGCCATTTTAAGAAAATGCCAAAATTCTGAAAAATACCCAAGGCTATAGCCCATAGTTATTTCCAAAAAATGGCTCCGAAATCAGCCCAAATTTCTATTACATTTTCTGATACATATTGATGTCCTTATGCTGTGTAGAAAGTTTGAGCTGATTCCGACCTCAATTTTTAGAGTTACGGCCATTTTAAGAAAATGCCAAAATTCGGAAAAATACCCAAAGGCTATATAGCCCATGGTTTTTTTCCAAAAAATGGCTCCAAAATCACCCCAAATTTTTATTACATTTTCTGATACATAATGATGTCCTTATGCTGTGTAGCAAGATTGAGCTGATTCCGACTTCAATTTTTAAAATTATAATCAAATTAATCTAATATATTCATTTATTGTGTAGGTGTGGTGTTTAACTGATTTAATGAAGACCAAGTCACCTGATCCTCATGTGACTGTACACAGACAATCAACTGGTCCTCTAGTCTGGTTCAATACCAACACACTGATGACTGCCGCTTCAACAGGTTTCATTCCCATGCTTCCAGGCTGGGTACCAGGATTCAGAAGAATGAATTACCAATCACTGACTGGCGAGATTGAGCTGTGGAATGTTGGGAAGCATTATAAAGACTCAAAGAAACCAACCAGCAATGTAATGTAACACCCTGTGACATAATGTAACACCTTTAACATAACGTAACACCCTTTAACATAATGTAACACCCTGTGACATAATGTAACACCCTGTGGCATGTGCATGATTATTATTATAATCTATACTAGAAGTAATGTAGAACATTAAGGGGCGAGCCTAAGCTAGCAAAGCAATCATAGCACTGGATCTATCCATCTATAATCTACTCCCGATGATTTCAAAGCATGCATCATGATTTAGGCATAGCAAACATGATTTACATGATGAAAGTTTAATGCTGCTGATAAAATTAATAAACTTTTAGTCTTCTAGTTTCACATACACATTTCTTGCCTATAAATGTCTGTAAAGATGCTTTACTTAGCTTTAGATATAATATTATCCAATGTTAAGATGACTGAGAAAAAGCTTGATTGACTTTCACAGTTTTAATAGCAATTGCATCAGTAAAGACGAGCTTCATAGGTTATTAATTGAATTTAAAACCTTCTATAGCTGCTGGGGAAGTCTTTGGACGGGATCTGCCTTATATTGCTGCTAGAAAGCTCATGAATTCTTCCAGTGTGTTGGTTGCCATTTTTATTTTACTGTGACCGCTCCCACTTTCAATGAAAAATTGAAAATTGCATTGGTAATGCATAGTATCTATCTACCATATTAGATCTACGCATAAATAGGGGTGACGTACGAGGACAGACATACAGACAGACAGAGGGACAGATGGGGCGTGACTGAGAGTATAGCTAGAGTGGGGCGAGCTCAGGCTCGCCCCAATAAATGTACATGTACACGTAGCTAGAAAGGAATCAAATTCTAATGTGACATTAATTTAACTGTTAATTAAAAATAACCAGGATGATGATACACATTTAGCCCAGTTTTCATTCCTATAAAACCTTATCACGTTTTCTTATCACTTGACATAATTTATGATTATCAGTTATAATAGAAAAGAATTAAATATTGACATGTACAATTTGCTAAGACATTAATTTGATGTTAAAATACACACACTGCCTCAACGACAGATGGTTGATGATACTTTCTCCTTTTCTGTTAGTTTTCTCTATACAATATGTAACCCTCTCTCTCCCTCCCTCCCTCTCTCTCCCTCCCTCTCTCTCTCTCCCTCTCTCTCTCTCCCTCTCTCTCTCTCTCTCTCCTCCTCCTCCTCCTACAGGTGTATAAAGTGTCTCATATGTACATGCCCAATAGTTCAATGAAGCTCTCCTCATCAGTGGCTGGTCCAGTGACTCAGTTAGTGTTAATGAATGGACGTATACTAACAAGCAGTGGAGCTACACTATCAGTAGTTGATACTAGTAATGGAGACACTGTAGAGTCATTCACTGACCATAAAGACACCATCACTGATATATATGCTGTGAGTAGTAGTAATATGATAAAATGAACATAGATTGAATGGATATTAAAGGCTTACATGTAAAATTAAAGACATACATGTAGACTTGTTACAAAAAAGGTTAAGTAGTTGCTCTACTCTTCTTCTTAGGATAGTTATCGTGTATTAACATGTTCCAAGGATTACTCCATCAGAGTGTACAGGTGGTCCAATAATACATTGATCAGTTTATATCAGCTACTGGGAGGTTCAGTGGCTCACAAGACACAGTAAGGATCATGTACATGCACCTATACACATTACAACTACTATGGGCCTCAGATACTGTGTATACTATAAAAAATAGCACTGCTAATATGGTACTCTACAAAGAGAAGAGAGGTGCTCTCCCTGGGACAGTCCCTCTTAGCCATCTCCTGTTACAATGTATACACACACTGTCATGTGCCTTGCACACAGACATTATGTCTTGCTTGCCTTGTTGTGGTAACATTAAATCAATATTCTCTCTCTCTCTCTCTCCCTCTCTCTCTCTCTCTCTCTCTCTCTCTCTCTCTCTCTCTCTCTCTCTCTCTCTCTCTCTCTCTCTCTCTCTCTCTCTCTCTCTCTCTCTCTCCCTCTCTCTCTCTCTCCCTCCCTCCCTTTCTCTTTCTCTCTCCCCCTCCAGTGATGGATTCCATAAGGTGTTATGTTCCTCTGGTACTTGTATTGGTGTGGCTGGTAATATCATTAAATTGTATAATTTCAATGAAAACATTAAGAGTTCATAACTTGGGCATGTTTGTGAGTGAGAGTGACTTTTGCTAAAAAAAACAAACAAAAAAAATTATAATAACTATTATTAATTATATTTTTATAATAAAAGAAACAATGTAATTTCAATAACAATAGTAATCATTATAAATGATGACACACACGTGTACAATCACAACACTTTTATACACACGTAGTTGCTACAGGCATTAATCACTTTATCTCGGTAGAGAGAATAAAGACTACAGTACTCTATTACAGTTACACACAGACAGTGTACATGTACAGTGTATGCTATAGGCATCAATAACATAATCTTGGGAGAGAGTGAATACAAGTACAAGTACTACTACACAGTTATACCCATACAGTGTACAGTGTACCCATATTATGTATAGTATATGTCTTACATTAGTTGGTGTAGCTAGTGATTGCAGCAGTGGACTGGTGAGTGGTTTAGTTAATCCTCCAGTTGAAGTCGTCTTAAAAGTAGCAGATAATGTCAACTGAGGCTTGTTCAGCATCTACAATAATGTAAATGACACCAATATGTACATAAGCATACATGTACATATCTCAGATACATGTACATGTACATGTATGTTATACAATGACTATTCAGGTGCTCATACTAAACAGTAGCAACAGTCCAAAATAGAAGCATTTAAACAGGTTTATAAAGTACATATACATATAAATTCCCAGGTCACTTATTAAGACCGCCAAGAGGAATTTGGTAAGTAATCTTTGATTGGTCAATTACAACTATAGGTGTGGTTTAATTCTCTCACTTCTTTCTTTTTGTGTTTCAGTTTATAATTTTGAGCTGTCAAACAATAACGCTCTGGGGGAAGGCGTGGCCCAAACTTCTCTGGAATAAGTGGGAGTGGCGTCGCATTTTTCTGACGAGCAACTTCAATTAAAAACTAAAAATACAAATAAATAATTAAATACAGCTAAGTCCATTATTATTGTACCTCTCTGGGGGGCGGGGCAGTGAAGGAGTGGTCTAGTCTGTTCTGTATTGCTAGTCTAACGTCACTCTCATCAATCTCAGTCTTGTTAGCATATTCGGAATATAACTTGGCATCTTCTAACACATTAACAATGTATCCTGGAAAAGAAATAAAATAAAATAAAATAATGGTTTATGTGCAATAAGATATTATAAGGTTAATACAGTAATTTTGGATGAGGATCAAAACTTTGAAAATTGCTAAATTTTTTGATGATTGGTTGGTTTTAATTTGGCATATTAGTGTCCATGTGCCAATGAGCATGTACATAATGGTACAAAATGGTCTGTAAATCACAAAATCCACAAGTTTAGTACGAATTTCAAATAAAGAAATACAACAAAGCACATAAAAACAGAATAACAAACCACAGGATATTTCATTTCCTGCAGAAAATGCTGAACTGTCAAATATAGTCTGGCCCTGCCCCCCCCTTCGCTGGATCTCATCCAGCGAAGGGGCGGGGCCAGACTATGTCAAATAATATTTGGCAGTAAACAAGCTGACTCAGCAATTTTAAAAGAAATGGTAGATTTCAAGATGTCATAGACCAAATATGAGAGAACAAAAAGTCTCCTAAACTCCCTCTAGACCAAACACATCAACATTGTTAGATCACAATCAATTAATGTCGTAATTAACTTGTTTTACTTCCACATGTCATGATGTATTTCCGTATAAAACTCAGTACGTCATAAAAATTTTCTGCTTTTATTTATAATTTTTAAATTAACAATCAAAGTACAATAATTGTGACTGTTAGTAGTCGTAACCAAAGAAGGTCCGTGTAGATTTCTCCCAATTTTTATACCACTGGTGCAACTTATACGCTGTGCCAATAACAACTACATACACGTATACAGATACAGGTACATTCTGTCCACCATTGTTTCCTCCATTGTTGCCATCGTTTTCATTATTCTCCTGCTGGCGATATAAAAATAAAAATGCAACAGCATCAAAATAATTAAATTTTATATATTTATATAAAGATAAATTGTATCTGCTACTCTTGCGTCTACTAATGGAAGATGTCCCAGAATAAGTACCATACTTAGTCTCAGTATCACTAGAGCCATAGTCAGTATCATACTCACACCCTGCCTTCTGCAATTATAGCAGAGATATAAAGAGATATGACACCATGATAATGGGCCTAACCTCAACAACTGTGAACAATAAAACTGAAAGGACAAGTAAGCAATAGAATGGGGACCCCATCACTTAAAACTTCTACTAGAAACTAAACAGAAATTAATAATTATTGCCAACAAATGTTAACTCAGTAATTAATAATAATAGCTAGACAAGAGGTTTTGTCAAAAGAAAAAATCATAACAAAAAAGCAAAAAGCACAAATTATAATGATTGCTGCTGTTATACAGATAATTATCACTCTCAAAATTACAAATTTTTCTACTCTACAGCACTTAATATTCAACATACTATTATAACAAAAAGACCCGTTTGAATAACACAGTGACAATATTGACATATTGTATGATGCTGCATCGATAAATTTGCCACAACAGCTTGATTATGCTGAGTCATCATCATGACATCAGCCACTCTCCAATGCCCATTTATGGTATGGTCACGTGATTAGTAGTGAAACAAACAACGCCTCGTGATATTTTGTACATGCGTTATACTAGCATGTGAAGAGTGACAAATTGATAAATTTTTCCTTTTTGATGGAAAGCAAAAGGTTTAAGTGTTCATACTAATAATAAAAATGATAAATAAAATTAAAATAATGATAAAATAAATATTATTATACAACAAAATTTTGCTGCATACACTGTATTGTGACACAACAATTTAACAAAGACTTTTATTAGAACATAATTATCAAAGTCAAAAAGTGCCACAGACAGACAGAAGTGCTTCTACCAAGATCAAGTAGACCCTGTGGGGCAGCAGCTGCAAAAGGTTCCACTTGACGTATGGCAACCAAAGCAATGAAAGCATACATAGCACCAAAATGTGGCATCATAATACTAAAACAAAAATATTCAAAGTGTCATAATGAAGGAATTTTGTAATTACCGAGAGTGATTTGGAAGGATAATGTTACGCCGTGCAGGGAGAGACCTATCATCTCTAAGTGAGGGATGGATAGTGGCAAGGATGCGTCCTACGCCATCAGATCCACCATTCCTAAAAGAACCAGCATCACCTTGCATAAAATCAGACTCATCCTCTAGAAACATTTGAAACAAGCCTCCTCCTGAATCATCCGGTGGCTCATGATTCCCATACCCTTGTATGGCCTGTAGTTGTAGTAAAAGATAACTAGACGCATTAGTAAGAGATACTACAAGTATCGCTAACAGGGCTACAAGTATCACTAACAGGACTAATAAGGAACAGGAGTGGGATGTCATTCTACTAACCATAAAATATTAAACTATTCACCGTTAGCCCAACACTGAGTTTATATAAACTGTATTACCATACGTGGATAACTTTTATTGGCTGTAAGTGACGTCAGCATTAAGGAGCATTTCTAATACACATCACTCGTGACTCAATTTAAAATACCAGTAACTATCACACAGATAGAATTACTGTGGGTCAGAAGGATGTATACCAATGTAATATTTCTATAAAACAAACTTCATAGTAACCAGACTGTATGGATAATTGAACATTAATTAGTAACATGGTAGCGTTACTAAGTAGGATTCACCCCCAAAACAATATGGCTGCCACGACTTTTGCAGCCTTGCTATATACAAATAATATCAGGGAATTTTTAAAGGTATTACATTTTCCCAAATAGGTTATTTCAAAGATCTTGCAAAAATTAATTTACTAAAATTGACTTTGTGAATACAAAAATAGTAAACGTTAAGCAATTGGTAAATTTTCTAGCTAACATCAGGCAGTATGAAATATTTTATATATATATCGTATAATAATCATAACAATAATCTCAATATTACTCATTTTATAGATAATTCTTACTATAACTCAGTTCCATCATTTGGTGTACCACGTTAGGCTCGTACTCAGTGACTCCCATCTCTTTCAGTATACCCTCCATAACAGCTCCATCCCTTGAATCAGAACCACCACCGGACGCCATCTTGAAATAGAATCTAAAGGGGCAAGTCTTTATGGGCGGAGACAAAAATCACGTGAGTTTTTTAACATGCACGACTGCCATTTTGAATTTAGAGGTGTGTCTTGGGGCTGGGTTTATAATCACGTGACCTTAAAAACATGGCCGTTTTTGTGGACTCATTCTATAAAGTTTAAAGTCTCCTTTACCTGAGGACAGCTACAAGAGAGAGAGTCATGAGCGGGAAAAAGGACGGGAAGATGAGGATACGAGCCTTCCCTGTAACTAACACTCCTCCATTGATGAATATACTGATAATAATGTGTATTTATTAACAGGTACAAATGGACCCCAGCTATGTGGAAGACATTTTGAAACTTTTGAGGAACGCCATTAGGGAAATACAAAAGAAAAATAATAGCGGACTATCGTTTGAAGAATTGTACAGGTAAGCGAGATAGGGTTTAGTGTTTATGGGTGTAGTTTTCTGGTTCATGTTGTGGGTGTGGTCATTATTTGTGGGTGTGGTTTTTAGGAATGCGTACACACTGGTTCTTCATAAGCAAGGTGCTAGACTCTATACAATGTTAAGAGAAGTCATTAACTCTCACCTCATCAATGAAGTAAGCACTTGTCATGTACATTTATACATGTACTTTATTTAATGTTTTATTGATCATTGCTGGTTTTACATCTCAATTTAAAAAGAATATTGTTGTTGATTTATATGTACATGTACATGTACATATAGCTGGTTGATTAGGAGGTCAATTTGTATGTTGCATTCATGGTTGTTTCATGGTTTTTATAACTGGTCTTGTTATCATAACTCGCAACATTAAAATAATGATTTTGAAAAACTTGAGCTGCATGAGCAAGCAATGTACACAATGTACACATATACATGTGCATATTCTTATAAAATAGTACTTTAATTTTAGCTGTATTACTGTTACATTAACATGTATTATTACTGTTGTTGTTTACCTTTTAAAATTATCATTTTAAGCTGAATCAACAAACAGAATGTAAAAGTATACTTGTACTTATTCTTTTTAAATAGTACATGTATCTTTAATCATTTAACTATACATGTATTGATACTGTTCCTGTTGTTTACTTGTTGTTTATTGTTGTTTATTGTTGTTGTTTACAGGTACGTGTTGATGTTGAGGATTCTTTAGAGGGTCTGTTCCTAGAGACCATGAACAGGGTGTGGTCTGAGCACCAAACAGCAATGGTCATGATAAGGGACATATTAATGTACATGGTACGTTTTGATCATGTACATGTACATGTACTTTATTTGGTGAAAAGTACTTGTATAATTGTAAACAATACATGTACAATGTACATCAGGGTCCTGCCTATAATGAAGAAAGAGGTGGTTGGAGACTAATATTGTTCCTTTTAAATTTATGTACACCATACTAGTAGACTACAATATCATGCTTTATGTATGGTTATTAGTATTAATTGGATGGTTGGTCTAAGTGATGAACTGGTTGGTTCATTTGTTGAGGCGGTTGTCCCCACCACCCCTGACCACCACAGGCAGGACTTTGGTACATAACTACATGTACACATACATGTACTTTCACTGATGAAAGTATACATGTACTGTACATGTACATTTACCATTTACATATAGCTCTACATGTATGCATGTACATGTACATGTTAATTCATCGATGATAATTTCAGTGTAAAAAAAAGACTTCTTTAATTCTACATGTGCATGTACCTTTAATTCTTTATTTTATTATTATTATTATTATTATTATTATTATTATTAATAGGATCGTGTTTATGTTCAAGGAAATGAAAAACTCAACGTTTATGATTTAGGACTGGTACTATACAAGGATGAGGTGGGTGGGGCTGGGGGTGTGGCCTCGTTATAATTAATTATTATTGTCATTAGGTGTTGCATCATCATTCAATTAGAGAACATATGAAGAATCTATTATTAGAACTAGTGGATAAAGAGAGGAAAGGAGAGATTGTTGATAGGTGGGTGTGGTTGATTCATCAATTTCATGAATTTTTAAAGTTGCTTCAAAATCGGGTCAAAGTCCCTGTACTATAGTACAGGGTCTCGAGCCAAATTTTGCCAAAAATGAAAAGTAGAGAATTCTTAATTTTTATTATATTTTCTGATGCATATACATGTTCTTATGTTGTGTAGAAAGTTTGAGCTGATTCCAATCAAAATTAGATTTTTTACAAATTTTTAAAGTTGCTCCAAAATTGGACAAAAGTCCCTGTACAGGGTCGTTGGCCAAATTTTGCCAAAAATTAAAAGTTGAGAATTTTTAAGTTTTATAATATTTTTAGATGCGTATACATGTTCTTATGTTGTGTAGAAAGTTTGAGCTGATTCTGATCAAAATTAGATTTTTTATGAATTTATAAAGTTGCTTCAAAATTAGACCAAAGTCCCTGTACTACATGTACATGTATGTAGTACGCTGCATGTGTCATTGTTACTATTAATAGATTATCGTTGTTACTATTTATAGATTATCATTGTTACTATTAATAGATTATCATTGTTCTATTTATAGAGGTGCCATACAGAGTACTTGTAAGATGTTAATGTGCCTGAGTCTGAGCAGTTCTAAAAGAGACGTCTATGAGGAAGACTTTGAGAGACCATTTCTACAAATGTCAAGAGAGTTTTATAAAGTAAGTGCATATTACTACAGATATTTTATATTAATACATCACTACATCACTACATTACTACATCACATTATTACTACAGTGCATGTTATTACCAGTGTAGCCTCTATACAATGGACACTTTGGAACAAGAAAGTGTCTCTGTTATACAGAGGTGTCCTTTATGTGGAGGTTATTTTATACAGTAAGGAATGTAATTGGTACACTAGGTGCTGTCCGTTAAATGGAGGTGTACGCTATAGAGAGTGTCCATTAAGAGAGACTATACTATATTAACACTATTATTATTATTATTACTATTATTATTATTATTATTATTATTATTATTATTATTATTATTATTATTATTATTATTATTGATAGGCTGAGAGTCAGAAGCTCCTAGCAGAGAACAGTGCTCCAGTGTACCTAAGGAAGGTTGAGGCTCGACTAGTGGAGGAACTGGAGAGAACTCATCATTACCTTGACCCCAGCACTGAATCAAGAATAACTAAAGTAACTAACTACAGTATATTATAATTCATGCACTTTTGCTTGTGTGTGTGTCATGTACTAATATTAGTGAGTTTAATATTGGATTATTGTGACTGTATAAGCAAAACTGTGATGAGCAAACCATCATGATGGAATTGACATGCTAAAATTGTTTTTGTTTACTATTGTTACTGCTACTGCTCCACCCATTAATTGACAGGTAGTAGAGGATGAGCTGATTAAGGAACACATGAGCACTATAGTGGATATGGAGAACTCTGGAGTGATACACATGCTCAAGAATATAAGAGTGGAAGGTAATTGAATATGTACATGTAATATAGATACAGTCAATCCTGTCTATTCCGGACACCTTGGGATCCAATAATACCCTAGCTTACAATAATTACAATAATAATTTTAATTATTACAATAATGAGGTAGAGAGAAGAAGGAGGCTACTGGATCAATATTAGCAGCTGGTGATGGAGATAGAGTCTCTGTCAGTTTATGAAGAATATTTAATATGAGACGACCATTAGCAATAGTACTAAAATAAATAAATAAATAAAATTATTAATTACTTTTATACGATGATTTACATGTACATGTAATATAGATACACTCAAACCTGTCTATTTCGGACACCTTGGGACCCAATAATACCCTAGCTCCTGATTATGAACCTGTTCTTATTTCAGAGGTTCATTAATACACATTACTATTGTATTGGGACTGATACTACCCCTCCTCATTATAGAGGTGTCCTTATTTTAGAGTGTCCACAATAGGAGGAGGTTATATACTGTGTACATGTACATGTACATTATTGTAACATGTACATGTACATGTATTTATAATTGTTTATTTACAGATCTAGGGTGTGTATATAAACTATTCAGTCGGGTGGAGCAAGGTCTTCAATCAGTCATCGACAGAATGAGCATGTTTCTACGGGAAACTGGGCGGGGCCTTGTCTCGGTGGAAACCAGCTCCGACTCCACCCCCGGGAAGAACGCTACAGTGTATATTCAGAGTCTACTGGACCTGAGGGACCAGTATAATGTGTACTTAGAGAAATCCTTCAATAATGATCCTACCTTCCGCCAGGCTATTGGAGTAGTAAGTTCATTAGATAAAATATATTGTATAATAGCTGATGATTTAAGTATTATTAATAATTATATTAAATTTTAATTTAAGTATTAATAGTATAGTAAGTAAAGGACAATTGGACAAATTTTGTTGTAGCCAAGCCATTAAAACCCTTTGAGGCTGTTGGAGTAGTAAGTACATGTACATTGTACATTAGCTACAGTTGAGCTGATAATATTTTGGAGGGGACAATGTGACAATTTTCATTTCACCATTTACTAAAATACATGTACATGTAAATCCCACCCTCTTTACCATTATGTACATTATTTTTGTTATTATTATTGTTGTTTGTTATTATTGTTTGTTTGTTTGTTTACAGGATTTTGAGTATTTTATTAATTTAAATGACAAGTCTCCTGAATATCTATCATTGTTTATTGATGAACTGCTGAAGAGAGGAGTCAAAGGAGTAAGGAACATACATGTACATGTACATGTACATGTACCTTTTATTACTTTTACTTTATTTTATTTATTATTAGTATTCTGAAGTTGAAGTGGAAGGTATACTGGACAAGTGTATCATGTTATTTAGATATTTACAAGACAAAGTAAGTATATGAACATTATTTATTTATTTTAACTTGCATGTACATGTATTTACCAAGTTTAATTATTAACACTTACACTGTACATGTACACATGATGTATTGTCACTAATAATACATGTATCATTATTATTATTATTATTATCATCATTATTATTATTATTATTATTATTATTATTATTATTATTATTATTATTATTATTATTATTATTATTATTATTATTATTAATAGGATGTGTTTGAGAGATATTACAAACAGCACTTAGCCAAAAGGTTACTGTTTAACAAGACAATATCGGACGACTTTGAAAAGAGCATGATCTCTAAACTAAAGGTGGGTGTGGTCAATCTATCACCATAGCAACACCATTATTATTATTGTTATTGTTATTACACAGCACGAGTGTGGTGGACACTTTACCAGTAAGCTGGAGGGAATGTTCAAGGACATTAGTCTATCTACTTCTACTATGGACAAGTTTAGGGACTTCCTTCAGACCAGTTCTGTAAGTTATAGTGTACATGCACGTACATGTACAGTTCTTTTAATGAAGCACTTCTCTTTAATGAAATTTTTCATTCATTGTTCCTAATTATTATAATAATATACATGTACATGTATACATGTATTAATGTATTAATGTATTAATGTATTAATGTATTAATGTATTAATGTATTAATGTATTAATGTTAATTTGTTCCTATTGTTCTTAATCATTATTCATGTTCACTTTTATTGTTCTTATTACACTATAGAATGGTTTGGGAGGTGTTGATCTTCATGTCCGTGTCCTCACTACTGGTTTCTGGCCCACAGCCACTACCAATTCTCCTTGCATTCTTCCTCAGATAGTCGCTGATGCTTTTGCCGTGTTTCAAAAATTCTACCTCTCACAGTACAGTGGAAGACAGCTAACACTACAACCTCATCTGGTTAGGGAATTTATTTGTTCATTTATTTATTTATTTAATATATTAATATTATTGCTACAGGGTTTTGCTGATCTCCATGCTGTGTTTTACCCTCACAATAAGAATGAGGCTAGTTCAGGTCATGCTGTAGTGAAGAAGCACATCCTACAAGTATCAACCTACCAAATGACACTTTTATTATTATTCAACAAGAAACCTGTATTCACTTTTCAAGTACGTACAATAATACATAATTATACATGTACATGTACATAATAATTTGGTTATTAATGGTTATTAATGGTTATTAATGGTTATTGCAGGAGTTGGTGTTGGAGACTAACATACCTCATAAGGAATTAGTGAGAGGGTTACAATCACTGTCTGTTGGTAGAGCATCACAGAAAGTACTTCACTGGTTAAATAAAGAACCTAACAGTTCCAGCAAAGACTTCAGTAAGTTATCCTATACTGTATACTGGTACTTTAATAAGTTTAAGTATACCCAAGGTCCATGGTTTTTTCCAAAAAATGGCTCTGAAATCACCCCAAATTTTTATTACATTTTCTGATACATATTAATGTCTTTATGCTGTGTAGAAAGTTTGAGCTGATTCCGACTTCAATTTTTCAAGTTACAGCCATTTTAAGAAAACGTCAAAATTCTGAAAAATACCCAAGGCTATAGCCCATGGTTTTTTTCCAAAAAATGGCTCCGAAATCACCCCAAATTTTTATTACATTTTCTGATACATATTGATGTCTTTATGCTGTGTAGAAAGTTTGAGCTGATTCCGACTTCAATTTTTCAATTTATGGCCATTTTAAGAAAACGTCAAAAATCTGAGAAATACCCAAGGCTATAGCCCATGGTTTTTTCCAAAAAATGGCTCTGGAATCGCCCCAAATTTTTATTACATTTTCTGATACATATTGATGTCCTTATGTTGTGTAGCAAGTTTGAGCTGATTCTGACGTCAATTTTTCAAGTTACAGCCATTTTAAGAAAATGCCCAAATTCTGAAAAATACCCCTCCATGTTTTTTCCCAAAAAAATGGCTCCGAAATCACTCCAAATTTTCATTACATTTTCTGATACATATTGATGTAATAAGGCTCTACCTTCATGTACATGTCCTTATGTTATATTCTCCAGGTGATGGTGATCAGTTTGCAGTCAATGATCAGTTCACTAGTAAGTTGGTACGTGTTAAGATACAGGCCATCAGTGCTAAGGGGGAGACTGAACCAGAGAGAAAGGAAACAAGACAGAAAGTTGATGATGATAGAAAACATGAGTATCCTACTTAATCTTACCCACTGTAGTCATCCCTTTATCAATTTTTAAAGTTGCTCAATAATTAGGCCAAAGTCCCAGGGTCATTGTCCAAATTTTGCTCAAAATCAAAAGGAGAAAATTCTCTATTTTTATAATTTTAAAAATACATATACATGTTCGTATATTGCATGGAAAGTTTGGACTGATTCCAATCAAATTTGGTTTTTTTATGAATTCTTAAAGTTGCTCCCAAATTGGATCTCAAAGTCCCTGTACTATAGTACACATGATTCGTTGTTCCTTAGCTACTGGTTAGGATTGAAGCTGCTATAGTTCGTATAATGAAGGCTCGTAAGAGACTCCCTCACAACAGTTTAGTGGCCGAGTGTGTGGAACAACTTAAGAACCGGTTCCCTCCTAACGCTATGATCATTAAGAGAAGAATTGAAAGTTTAATTGAAAGAGATTATCTATCAAGATCACCTGATGACAGGTAAGGCAATAATAATAAATGAATGAATAAGATTAATTTATTGTACATGTACATGTAATTGTGTACCATTTTTTGTACTTTTTGAGTATGAAAGTGCTTGCAAATTTTGTGTTTTGTTCTTCAGAAATTTAGATTTTTCTTTTTGTATTGTTTTATTGTAGGAAAGTTTATATATATATGCCATAGGATCAAATTCACTCTCTCTCTCTCCTTTTCTCTGTTTGTAACTTTTTTCAAATTTGTACTGTATCATTATTATTATTATTTTGTTGATGATATTCTGTTAGTTTTCATTTTTGATTACTGTGACAAATTTAATGACACGAGAATCATCAATGAAACCATTATACGTACACACATTCTGATTATTATTATTATTATTATTATTATTATTATTATTGTTATTAATTGAATTATTAAAATTAATGTCAATGGATAATAACATGATCATCTTTCCACTTAAGTTGTTCATTATTCATTACTGTGTACAGACAAGGAGCAGAACACAACTGAAGAATGAAAGGTAAGTGTCTACTATTATTATTATTATTATTATTAATTGATCGTATTGCTCTGAGACCACACCCATACATAGCTCCTTGACAATAATCACACGTACCAGTTGGACTATTAATAAAATAGTATTATTATTATTTTTATTTTTAATTTTATTTATTTTACTTGTTCAAAAGTGCTTGTATATCTTGAGGATATTCTTCTATTGCATTCACTGTACTGTGTTTAGCTAATACTGTACAACACATATCAGACAGCATCTATTAATAATGATGATGATAATTTATAGTACTTATAAGAAGATAAACAAAAACAAAACAATTGTTTATTTTTAAAGTCATGTTGGTTTTTTTACTGTACAGTATGCATGTATTATTTACTGGTTATTATTATTTACTTGTGGTGAGTTGTGTGTGTTTTCTTTCCACAGTAACTGATGGAAGTAGTTACTATCCACCAGTAGTTGTTGTAGTTGTATGTTTAGTGTAGTAACTGGTAGTCCTGATAACTGATTACACTGTACGTTGAGCCTCTTTAAGTTACTATAAATAGAACAATACTGTTACTATAAATAGAATAGTTCATTACTAAATAGAACAACACTGTTACTATAAATGAAATGATTTATTACTACATGTAAATTTAATGGTTTTATATTACTAAATAAAAACTTCTGTTACTATATATAGAATCATTACTGTTACTATTAATAGTAACGCTCATTACCACAGTTGCTGTATGTCCCTTGATATCCATTGGAGGCTATTGTGTGATACATCAAGCTCCTCTAATGAGTACAGCTCAAACAATCTATTTTTAGTAACATTAAATACAGTAATTATTATTATTATTAACATTAATCCTATACCCTTGTGGTAGATCAGTTAGTAGGTTGAATGGTATCGATAATAATTGAAGTGACTTTAAACTTCTTATAGCTATAGAATAACAAATTAGTTAACAATGAAAAATGCATTAATGATAATTATCCCTCCATCTCTCTCTATCTATATGTACATTATACCTGATGGTATTTCTCTTATTGGGTTGTTTCTTAATCTCAAATCTTTTAATTGTGTCAATTGACATATGTCCTTTGGGAATACCTGTATAATAATGATTATTAATATAATATACAGGATAATTATTTCTATTATAATGCATGATAATAATACTGACCTGTAGACAGTTGAATGATACATTGAGGTGTGTTAGTGTATTGCTCAGTGGTAGTAGTGATGGTAGTTCTGATAGGAAATGAGCTTTGAATGAGAGCATGTGTCCTCCAGTCACCATTGACTGTAGTATTGCTACTTCTGCAGGCCCAATGGCCTCATTACCTGAACTATCATCTATAGAAATAAAATAATAATAAATAATGATAATTCTTTCTTCAATTATGAGCATAAAAGATTGTAGTTCTTAACTATAGTATAAAAGTACATCAGTATCCAGTGCATCAGTGTATTTATTACCAAATGGGCTGCTTGTTCTCTGCTCTCCACAAAAGAACTTTGAAGCTCTGCTCTGAATGATGACATCATCTCTATTCTCTAACTGAATATCAGCAGAGGGTCTCCTTTCAACACTAGTCTCAGCCTCTCTTAGTAACTCAGCCAGCATGGACTTGAACTCTGCACATCATCATGAAGAGAGAGGAGAGAGAGGTTATAAAGATATTATAATTTACTGTGCATATAGTCCCTACCTAGTAGTAACTGGTGGTGAGGCTTACGAGTGTCATTTGCCAACTGTTGGACTGAAATAAAGAAAGAGAATTATGTAAAGGAACGCTAGTAGTAACAAGTTAATAGAGAAGCTTTTAAGTTCAAAAGGCATTATTATGCATGTGCATTCACATAATTATGTACATGTACAATTGTACAAAATAATAGTTAATTTTTAAGGTGTATACAAGTGGCACTGAAAACCCTTCGTTATACATGCAGTATTTAAATTAATAATTACATAGTCATAGTAATAGCTTTTACTTTCAATATTTCTGGTGTGCATGACTGATTGTCTGGGAGCATTAAAAGAGAACCAGCCAGTCATTTTAAGATAATTATCCCTAGAGAGTACAATAGAATCTGATGACACCAATCTCCTAGTACAGGCTCCCCTAGCTGTATCAGTACACAACAAGAAATCACTTAATGTAAAGGAGTCTAATGGTGGAGTAGGGAATGGAGGAGGACTAGGTATCTCTGTATGTTTAATTATCTTTCCCATTGGTAGAGGAGGAGGCCCTTTAGGATAGAGTGGGTGTATGTAAGGTAGGTTTGGTAGTCCTTGCTGTATATCTTGTTCTAGAGGTTCTCTTCTCTTGTTATTAGAGGGAGAGAGGGCTCCAGTCTTTTTACTAGTCTTAGTACTGCTAGTTTTCAAATACTGACTGGAGGGAGGGAGAGGCTTACGATACAACACAACACCACTGGAACTCTTATCCGCCATCTTGTTTATGATGGGTCTCCATGGTAACATTGGCCGGCTACTGGTTAGAGTCACGTGACTGTCATATGGCTCGAATAATGGCAGCGTCAGCAAACAGAGCTCGAGCTAGAGAAGCTTTATTTCTACGCCTTGCATTTGAAAGAAGAAATCACGAAGAAGCTGTTCGGTTCCTAGGTTTACAGGATCCTAAAGTACTTTACAGTCTTTACCGGGATGAGCCTGATCTGCTTTGTTATTCTAAAGGAATGGCTGGTTAGATGTGATTACTGCTGATCATGTGTCATGCCATTGAGCATCAGTGTACATGTAGTTGAAAGTGTTATGACAAAATGGCTCTTCCATTTTAACACTTACAAAATCATTAATTAACCTGCTTTGAGTGCTTTGAATTCATCACTTTAATGTATTCAACTTTTGTTTGTGGCTGGGCATGGTCCAAATGGAGTAACTTTTTAAAATTAAAAATGGCAAATTTGGTGGTAAATTTGCTAAACTTTCAATGCTTTTTATTTTTACAGAAAAAGAAAGGAACAATCCATCAAGAGTGGATCACGTGATATTAGTCCTGTCTGGTAAAGGAGGAGTTGGTAAGAGTACAGTAACACGTCAAATAGCACTGGGACTAGTTGAAGAAGGAAAGAAAGTGAGGGATTTTTTTAAATTTTATTTTGTTTGTTTGTTTGTGTGTTGCTAGGTTGGTATATTGGATATTGATTTATGTGGTCCTAGTATACCTCACATGTTTTCATTAACTGGTAGAGATGTACGTCAAGGGACTGATGGGTAAGCCCCTATCATTAATTATTAATTATTAGTACTATCAGTCTATGGTCTGTGGCCATAAATCAAAAAATTAAAGTCGGAATCAGCTTAAACTTTTTACACACCATAAGGACATCAATATGTATCAGAAAATGTAATAAAAATTTGGGATGATTTCGGAGCCATTTTTTGGAAAAACCATGGGCTATAGCCTTGGGTATTTTTCAGAATTTTGACATTTTTTTAAATGGCCGTAACTTGAAAAATTAAAGTCGGAATCAGCTCAAACTTTCTACACAGCATAAGGACATCAATATGTATCAGAAAATGTAATAAAAATTTTGGGTGATTTCAGAGCCATTTTTTGGAAAAAAACCATGGGCTATAGCCTTGGGTATGTTTCAGTATTGCCATTACTTAGTTGAAAAATTTTCATATACATGTAGCATAAGGACATCAACAATTATTTTATTTATTACATTATTTATTTATTTATTTATTTTTTATAGTTAGTTGGATTCCAGTATAATGTTGATGATACTCAAAGTCTTTGTGTGATGTCAATTGGTTTTTTATTAAATAATAAAGATGAAGCTGTTGTATGGAGAGGACCCAAGAAGAATGGTACATGAACACATTCTCTCATTATACAAAACTTTATCCTCAATTGTTATCTCCCCCCTATCCCCTCTCTCTCTCCCTCGCTCTCTCTCCCTCTCCCTCCACCCTCTCTCTCTCCCTCCTTCTCTCTCTCTTTCTCTCCTAGCTATGATTAAGTAGTTCTTGTCTGATGTAGTTAGGGGTCAGTTGGATTATCTTATTATTGATACTCCACCAGGTCAGTCATCATACATTACCTCCAATATCTCATTCATTATATTATACATGTACATGTACATATACTGTATAACCTCTCTCCATACTCCTATCCCTCCTGATTCACATTAATGTCTTTACTTTTATCTCTCTCCGTCCCCCCCTCTCTCTCTTTCTCCAGGTACAAGTGATGAACATATTTCAGTTGTTGAGAATATTAAAGAAGAAATTGCACTATAAAACTATCCACACAACGTCATAGAATCGCTTCCACCCGTCACCGTATAAAAGGAGGTGCCCTGGGCACAATATGGCGGCCGCTTTTGAAAGTTACAAAATGGCTACCGCAATGGCATGGCTGTTATTGTGGAGTGGCATAACGCACAAAATAACATGAAAACTTGTAAAGGCGAGGCTATAAACCCACAAGCACATGTAGACAGCATGGCTACAAGCAAAACGGTATAGTTTACTTGAAGTCAAAATAATTATTATCAAATTTCATTAATAGTGCATGCATGTTTGCACTGACTCAAGTCAAAAGAGCTTTAAAAAACTAACACCTATTGTGATACTGTTGTCTTGATAGATTATATTTGCCTAAGGGATCATGCATAAGACAGCAAAACAAAAATAATGCATTAAGAAATGCAAGAATGTATAATTGCCTATTATTAATAGAGGCGTGGTTTCATTGCCTAGAGCACTTAGTTTTTTAATTAAAAATATTTTTCAAAAATTTTCATTACATTTTCTGATGCATATTGATGTCCTTATGCTGTGTAGCAAGTCTGAGCTGATTCTAACTTCAATTTTTCAAGTTACAGCCATTTTAAGAAATTGTCAAAAATTCTGAAAAATACCCAAGGCTATATATAGCCCATGGTTTTTTCCAAAAAATGGCTCCGAAATCACCGCAAATTTTTATTACATTTTCTGATACGTATTGATGTATTTATGCTGTGTAGCAAGTTTGAGCTGATTCCGACTTCAATTTTTCAAGTTACGGCCATTTTAAGAAATTGTCAAAATTCTGAAAAATGCCCGAGGCTATAGCCCATGGTTTTTTTCCAAAAAATGGCTCCGAAATCACACCAAATTTTTATTACATTTTCTGATATGTATTGATGTCTTTATGCTGTGTAGAAAGTTTGAGCTGATTTTGACTTCAATTTTTTAAGTTACGGCCATTTTAAGAAAATTTCAAAATTCTGAAAAATACCCAAGGCTATTATAGCCCATGGTTTTTCCCAGTCCCAAAGTATTCAGAATCGGAATCGAATGCAAATTCCTGGATTTGCCCATCAATTAAAACTAATAAGTATTTATTAACCACCGGACTGATATTATTAATAATTAATTTGATTTATCATTGTGCTTTGAAATTAAATTTCCACACAAACTATGCAATGTAACTATTTAATTAAACTGAACTACACTTATACACTAAAATGGGGAGCACTAAACGAACATGATTTTCTACAGCATCAAGTAGTTCTAGTACATTCAATGTGGCATATGTTCATAAACATCTTCAGGTGATGCTTGACATTCATCATAAACTCCTTCATCCTCTTCACTTAGTTTAGTCCTGTGCATTTCATATGGTTCACAGGCTTGCATTGAAATATCATCATCAGCTCTATCAGTATAATATCTGTATAATAGTAAGAAATATGATAGAATAGACTAACTTTGTTTGCTTGTTAATGATGCATGGACTTTTTAAATTCTTTCTACAGAAAAACAATAATAATTATATTGTTTATAATAATGCAAACTATACCTTATAAAGCAGAAGATGTGAATAACAATACTGACAGTTAGTAAAATACACAATAAACTTACAAACAGACCAAGACCAATAACACTATTCGATGTATCACTCACTGATGGAAAGCAAGGTGGCAATGTCTGATTAGCGATAAGTGTCCACTCTCCATATCCTTTATCAGTGTATGCACGTACACCAAAAATATAACAAGACATATCATTAAGATCAGTTATGATGATCAATGCATTGGATGAGTTAAGAAGTTGTGATATTTCAGTATTAAAGCCATCATCATCTACCTTCATACAGCTACCACCAGACTGTAAGATATGATATCCTATCTCATATGTGATAATGGGATAGTCATGTGGAATGAAACTGGGTACACTCCATGAGATAACAGCCCATGTAGTGTCCATGATACTGGATACTGAACCAACTGGACCAGGTACTAAATAGAGACACATTCTCACAGAACTGATATAGTATCATTAATAATTACTCACCTATTCCAATTCTGATTACAATAGGATCACTGAAGGGACCTCTTCCAACAGAATTGACAGCAGCTACACTGATGTTATACTCAGTACCAAACACTAGATCATTCAATATGATATATCTCTCAGTACTGGTGAGGTTGTATGTGATACTACTGTTACTGATCATCACTGTATAGCCTGTGATTAGACCATTACGTTCAAAACATTTGACCTCATTCCAAGTGAGATTATTATTTGGTTGTGATAAAAACAGAGAGTATGGTACACCAGTAGGAGCTAAAAAATCAAAAGAAAGTATAATAATGTTAATGCATGTACATATACCTTTTGACAACAAAGTATCCTTATAAACTGACTTAGGATCAGATCCTCCTAGTACATTACCAGCTCTCACTGTGACAGTACAGTTCATACCACTGTACAGATCTACATGTGCATGCATTAATGTATAACTGTATGTTGTAGTGGACTGATGAGGAGCAACAGAAACTGTAGCAATCACTGATGATAACTGGGGACAAGATGGAGTATAGGAGATGGTGTAGTATGTTACATAGTTATCACTACTGGGAATAGTCCATTTCACTGTAATACCAGTGGTTGAGACATTAGATACTGAGAGACTAGTTACTGGACTAGGAACTACAACATATATAAATTACACTCTCTCAATGATAATATTAACTCACCATCAAATTTTAACACTGTTACTGTACTATTAACTGAAGGAAGATCTATATATGAGTACACACTGATGGTATAGGTACTCATTGGTGAGAGATTTGTTAGTACAATTTCATCTTCACTGGTAGATACTACATTCCTGGTTACACCTCCAGTAGTATACTCAATCACATATCCATTAGTCTCTGATGAAATTGCCCACTTCATTTTGATACTAGTAGCATTTAATATAAACCCTCTCACATTATTTGGAGGACCACTAGGAGCTATAGAAAAGAGACAAAGGTATCTACTATTGATTAAAGTATAATCATACCATGTAATATCACAGATTGACTGTAGTTGACTCCTCCAATCATTGCTATACAGGTAACATTAACTGACACTCCCAGTGGATCAGGATATACCAGTAGTGTGTTGTTGTATGTCAGGACATCAATTGATGAATAGTTTGAGTTACTCTTCATCACTCCATTCACTAACCAGTAAACATCAGTTGAAGGATTAATATCAGTAGTTGTGAGACAATCAATACAATATTGAATGTTATTGAGTTGCGTAATGGATGAGACTAGTGTCCAATTGATTGAATTAATAACTAGAAATACATCAACAATGTTACAAGTACATTAAAAGGTGCAGTAGCAATACCTGGTAAAGTCTGTACACTGATTGAACTACTAGCAGGTCCCAGTAATTGTTGATAGGCTCTGACTGTGATGTTATAAGTTGTTCCTCCTCTCAGTCCATTCAGTGTGATTGTATTATTACTACTTCCCTCCACCTGTACTGTCTGCACAGTGTCTGTGTCACTAGTGACATTGACTACATATCCATCAACATCAGATGAATCAAGTGCAGTCCAACTGACAGTGATAGTAGTAGCTGTCTTGCTGACCTCAGTAAGAGAAGAGGGAGCAGTTGCTGGAGCTGAAACTACGTAAATTATTGTCAATTAAACATTATTACTCACCAGTTACTGAAATGTATCTGTTCCTCATTACTGGGACATAAATGCTTAGACCAAAGTGTAAGTAAAATCTGTACACGTGATCCCCATTGTTGTTAGATTGACTCAGTATTCCACTAGTAATACTCTCTCCATTCCAAGTAACAGTTAGAGCATAATCATATGATCCATTACTCTGGTGTAGTAATACTTCATTACCAATGCTACAACTATATCCAGACCGTCCACTGCAGAGACCAGCAGTTATTGCAACACTATTACTGCCATACTCATAGTACCACTTAGCACTATTTAAGTAAACATGATTTGGCTCACCAACTTTAATAGCATGCAGTGTGTATGTTTGAGGTAGAACTGTTATATCTGAAGGAAGGTCAACTGTAACTTCTGCTATCTCTGCCCATCCTATATATACAGTAAATCAATGACAAATGACAGCATCATGTTACAAGAAATCTTACTGAATATATTAACATATATACTGTGATTGGCAGTTGAACAATCAGTTGGTAGACAACACTTGTAAAATCCTTCTTGACTACCTAGTCCTACAATGGCAGGATAATAAAGACTGAGAGTAGCATCAGGTGAAGTGACATTAGTACAAAGAAGAGGATCATTGTTATTATCAATGTTACAGTCAACGGGATCATCAGGATCAGCAACTCTAACCCACTGACCAGTAGTTAGACTAGTACCAGGTAACACACAAGATATAGATTTAGCAACTGAAGTGATATTACTATCCCAAAAATATGATCCATTAGGGTAACAATTTCCGTTATATGCTAAATGGATACCTGTACATTTGAAATACAATTACTGGTAATGTTATTATCAAAGTACCTTCTTTCTGACAAAGAGTTAATACACTGATTGTACTAGCAGGTCCTAGTAATTGTTAATTGATAGGCTCTGACTGTGATGTTATAAGTTGTTCCTCCTCTAAGTCCATTCAGTGTGATTGTACTATTACTACTTCCCTCCACCTGTACTGTCTGCACAGTGTCTGTGTCACTAGTGACACTGACTACATATCCATCAGCATCAGATGAATCAAGTGCAGTCCAACTGACAGTGATACTGTTGATTGTTTTTTTGACCTCAGTAAGAGAAGAGGGAGCAGACGCTGGGACTAATAGTTATACATGTGTACATAATTATTAGCATATCCTTACATTACCTTTTATTGTTAAATTGCGTATTCTATTATGTGCATGATAAGGATTATCCAGTAAATTGCAGTGATACATTTGATCTCCAATGGTTGATTGATTACTTGATCCATTACTGATGACAGTCATTCCATCCCATGTAATATTAGCAGTATATCCTACTGTGTATGTACTACTAACTAGCACAGTACCAGAGCAGGTATTAGAAGCATCACTACATCCAGTGTAATTGGCCAGTGTATTATTACCAATGCTCATACTCATATCATACGCACGATATCCAATTTTGACACAACTCAGTTTGTATTCCTGAGGATATACTGTCATATCAGAAGGAAGATCAGCAACAGTAAATGATTCTATCTGTGCAAATCCTACAAATGAAAAAGTACTACATAATACATGTATAAGGTGAATCTTACTGAATATATTAGCAAAGATGATGTTAGTGTTTGGATCTGAACAATCAGTGGGTAGACAACACTTGTACCATCCATCACCAGGTATCTGAAGATAAAGGTAGTTATTAGTGATGGGTATGTGAACACTAAGATTAGCACCAGACCCAACAGTACAAAAAACATTCGAATTGCTACCAGGACAAGGAACTGTTCCATTAGGACCAATCCATTTTCCACCATTTAGAGTAGCACCAGGTAATACACACTCTAGTGGAGTTGGGCTAATTCTCTCATCATGAAAATATGATCCATTGGAATAACAGGTTCCATTATGCCTCAGGTAGATACCTATAAAACCTATACAGTTGTTATTATACACATTCAGTGTCTTACCTGAGGAAGGGGGACATTGACTAATAACTTCACTGACACTCAACAAGAAGACAATGGACAGTGCTAAAGCTGAAATCATTTTAAGAGTTCACTGTCTCATGTACTATCTGAATATAATTTGCATTTCAAGAAATAATGGCAACATTTTAAAAGTAAACAAAACAAGTCAAGCATTCAAGCATGTGCACATTATACTGCGCAGTCATTGATAGCAGATCCAGCAAGTGTCATAGCATGTGCAGGTTTATGTTAGATTTGTTTATTGTTTTCACACGGATTGGTGGTCAGTAGGTCTATCACTATGGTCTATTTGTCACAATCTAGTAGTTTATAGATTGTGACTGGTGTTAGTGGCATGATTGCCTCATGCTATAGCACTGTATGCTATAATAGTAAAATTGTCTACTATGCAATGTCAACTTTAGACTAATAATAAGAATGTACAATTTACATATTAAAATTACTACATCTATGAATCAAATTTGTGTCATCATAGACTATATGTACATAAGACAGTACAGTGCATAAGGATCTATTCTTATGTACATACTCTATTGTTCTATTCCTCATTTTTAGTTCTTTATTAGTCTCTCTCCCTCTCTCTCTCTCTCTCCTCTCATTAGGAATGTACTAATGTATTTTCTACTGGAGGAGGTGAAGAATTAGCTAAACAATGTCAAGTCCCTTTCCTAGGTAATGGTTCATTATAATGGAGACACTCCAGTACATGTACACATGGCACTACCTTATAAGGAAGGGTATATTAGGAAATGTTCATGTCACTTAAGTTAATGAATTTCTGGTAATACAACATACATTGTATTACGTGTACTTGTTAATTAAAAGAGTTAAAATGTGCACCTTTAAAATAGAAGTTACCCACCCATCATTAATTACTTATTATTATTATTATTATCACCATCATTATTATTTTGACAAGAAATAAAACAGGTTAAAAACACATACACCGTAGATGTATTAAAAGAATTATTATATTATTATTTTTAAAATAAGTTTTATTATTATTATTATTATTATCATTACTACCACCATCATTATTATTACCACTATCACTATTAACAAAAGAAAAGAAACACTTAGATGTAGGATAGATCATGCATATGTATAATATAGAAAATGGAATAGAGAGAGGTGGAATAGAGGAAGAAAAAAACAATTGGCCAGATTAGTTATAGTTAATTTTGTTTAAATTGACATTATAAGTGATAGAGGTGAACTGTCCATCATTTTGACTGACCGCCACTTTGTACAGGAACCCCTCAGGCATAGGATATTATTATTATTATTATTATTATTTTATTGTTAATTAGGACGTATACCAATTGATCCATTGCTGGTTCATGATGTTGACAAAGCATTAAAAACAAGTGAATAGTCATTAACCACCAGACAATCAATCAATGGTATTATTAATTCATTATTAATTAATTAATTTTATTAACTTTGTATTCACATAAATGACCAGCTCCATATCTTTGTCTTATTTTACACTTTACATAGCTACATGTATAATGTGCAGTAAGTGGAGTTGCATTTATTGCAAGCCTATATAAACAGAACTTCCATGATTCCATCTCTTCTTCGTTGCTCTTGAATTTGTGTTACCTAAGCAGTTTATATTTTAAAATGAATAATCACACTATAACAATAATACTAATCATGCTAACAATAAAGATTATGCTATATAGCTATACTGTAAATAGCAATCATAGTTTAGTGTATGCATAGATAATTGTAAATCTAATAAAGTACATGTTAATTCAACTCTCCACTTTAACCAAAATCAATGCCCACTATAGTAAAAATATCTGCTACTTCGTCCCCACACTGATACTGAATAACTCTTTTAAATTTAGTTAGAGTCATTTGATCCCATCTGTCATTCAGTTTAATAACGACTGGTTTTGTTTGATTGCTAGTGGTTGGTGAGGCTGCTGCTAGTAATGATGACAATTTCTCCTTGATTATTGATCGTATGTGCTTCAACTGTGATGATTCTGAGAATTTATCAACACTATCAATGTATTGAGTTAGCTCAATTTGTGCATTTTCTGAAAGGTAAGTGTCTGTCAAGTGTTTAAGTACACCACAGTTAAAGAAATCATAATGAGGCTGAAGAGAATCAAATAACTCATCAACATCACCATATTTCAAACTGGATACTTGAATGCCTAAATAAATAGCTGCTCTTCTAGCTACATCTTGAAGCTTCACTTTACCCTTTTCCACCAGCTCCTCAAACTCCCCTCTCAGTTGGAAATCAAGAGATGCAAAACGAGAACTTAGATGTCCAATATTGGTAGCAACTTCACCCTTTGAACTGAGCTCAATGACAGTAGTAGGAGTAGATGATTGTGATCCAGTGATTATTGGTTGTGGTGTGTGAGATTGTGCAGTGACATCCACTGGTTGAAGTGGTTCTTACTGACTGATGGTTGCTGTTCTAGATTAGGATCAACATGACCACCTTTCATTTCTATTATAGATTAAAATAATTAAGACAATAATGCATACTAATAAGACAACAACAATAAATATGAAAATATTAAGGCTCCACTCCTCCCCACGCTCTAATGTGAAAATACAAATTCACCAATAAGGGCTTTGATTAACAACCATTAATGCATCTTACTTAATTTTTCCAATAGTTGATATGGCATGTTGTTAAGTCCTACTTTCTTTAGTGATGTAATGAGAGAAGAGAACGCACTGTTAGGATTAGGATGACACTCAAGTGTTGCTAGTACTGAAGAGAATATTTTATTAGCTCTATCATAAGGAGTGAGTCCAATGGTTACAACAGTGACATATACTTCTTTAGGAATGAGACCAGATGAAAAGAGATGATTATTTAATTGTAAAATAATTGGAGCATTTCCTGCAAAAAGATCAACAAGATCAGTTAACATCTCTTTCATTGTAATGTATTCTGGTGACATTGCAGAATCTTCCAAAGGTTCTAATGTTGGTTGTGGGCCTCTTGAATCTATTCACACACCAAAAATAAACAATAATACATAAAAAATAATCATTCAATGAAATATGTGTATTATTTGTTTCAGAAAATTATTGTGAATACAATGCATTATGATTATACTTTATGTTTGTCTTTCTAAGCAATTAAATGTAGAATTATATTTTTTGTCAAATATCCAAAAGCCATGCATACCCTTGACGCCTCAAAATGAAGGTGCATTTGATTATCATATTGTTAATAGTTGATATTTTTATTGGTCGTTATTAGATATTAAGAAAATTGACCATATTGCCATCATATTTAAACAGTCCTATTGTGATGAAGCTGAGATGAAGACATTGTTCTTTATGTTACTCATACCAAGAGCAAATAAAATTAGGGTTAAGAACTTACACTGACCTCTTGTCAATACAATGTTTATTTTCTCAATATTAGACATTACTCCTCTCATTGTTACAGGATAATTTAATTCCTTAACTATGCCTTCATCAGTTGTGGCTGTGATTGTAACTAGACACTCTGGAAATTGAGGAGGAGACATGCTTCCATATTCCTCAATATCATACCTACTGGCCTAACATATACACAACACATTAAACATTATGTTAATTATTAGTTCCTACAACTTACTATTACTGGAGTTTTATGAGGTCTTATTGACCAACCTTTAGGTACTGTTTCATTAAAACATAACTCAATGTATCCATCAGCATCATTGAATGTAAAAGAAAAAGAATCACCAAGTTCAGCACTGTTAAATTTATCATTTATGTACTATGATTTCTTGAAAATAAATGCACAAAGTATACTATACTATATACCGATTTAACTCTGCTTAGAGTTTTATCAAAAATTATTCTCATCAACCATTCCAGTCCTGGTCTTTTAACTTCGTACAGTACTTGACCATAGTACATTCTTAATGTAGGCAGCATATCTAAATGATAACAACATGAATGTAATAGACCCCATGACAAACATCTTTTACATTGAGTACATACTATGATCCTAATGGGACAATTTATCATAGTGATGGCGCATACATGATGTACATGCACACAACCCCATTAAAGGAATATACATAATAATGCTGACCTTTTCCTATCCTCTTAGCTATTGATTTGTAGGCCTCATTTTCCTCAAGTACTGCAACTAGTGAAGAGATCAATTCAGGTCTTTTATTAATAGATA